CTTCCTCCTTTGTTTTAACATAGAAGTCAACTGATATTTTGGAATTATATAAACAAGGAGTTAGCTATGTCTTAAAACACTTGGTATTTTTTTAGGTCACTCTGCTCAGGTGTATCTCCAGAGAGGAGGATAATTTTTGATGTCTTTCTAATTTTCAATATTATCTTTCACTCCTAGGCAATGCATTAATGTTGGCATTTCTGTTACTATAAATTTTGCTGCAGTTCTGTAGAGATGCTCAACATACTGCTGATAAATTGAGAGATCCTTGCCGCAATGAGTGTTTGTTCCAAATAAGCCTAAATAATGTCTTAATGGCATTATGAAAAAGACAAAGATGTTGCTGATCACACACTTCACTTGGAATGTTGGGAATCTAAAAACAACATTATACAGTTCTGAAAATATATGCAAAAGACTCAACCTAGTCAAAAAACATGTTCAAATAAATAAATCCTTAGCTAAATCTCCATGTTAGTATTATTCATCCATACACTTCAGGTTACTCATCAGATGACTTACAGAACTGAAATTTCTTACTTCCTTCTGCAACTAAAAGGTAACAAACTGCACAGTCTGTAAAATCTGAACAAAATTACTTACCTCCATTTCAAGATTAAAGAAACTGCTTTATAACAAGGTGTTTTTTTAAAACTTACTATCATATGAAAAAAGAGACAGTATGGTATTATGAGTTTTAATGTGCCATCATATGGAACATTTTCAAGGAAAAGAAAATTAAGTGAGCTGTAAGTTATGTGTATTCACTAACAAAAGTGTAAGTGGACATGAACTTATGCAAGTTAATGAGAAGAGTTTTCAGACTTCTGTAACTGCTGTCTCATTGCAGTGTGTTAGCTGTACAGCTTTTGTTTCTCTCATACAGGAGTCAGATTTTTCTGTGTTCAACACTGTGCCCTTGAACACTCATACAAAACACACTGAGACTCCCTGCTGGTAACCCATATATCTGCAGCCAAAAATTCACTAATAGCCAAAATAACCACAAATCAGAATATATTACAGTCTAAACCTACTTATAGGTTGTTGGGGGTTTTTTTGGTGTGTGTGTGGTGGTTTTGTTTGTTTGTTTTTGATTTTTTTTTTTAATGTAGGGCAAATTTGAATGCCTTGAATAAATCACAAGAAAGAGATAATCTCTCAATTTCTTACAATACCGATTCCAAGAGTCTTCATTTCAATTGCTTTTTAGTTCAGGATACTGCTACAGCCTTAATCATTCAGAATCAAAAACTGTCAAGTGCATATAAAGGCTATCCCCAAGTAAGAATTTGAGTTACAGCAGGTTAACATAAAAATAAAAATAAATATTTTAAGAGCATTTATTTAAAACATACTTAAAACTGTGTTATTTTCCTTTGACTCCCCAAATCTACTTGCAAAGTTTGCCTTTTAAGAACTTTACGCATCATGAAAACTGCTTTCAACCTAAAAAACGCAATCTTCTTCCCTTATTTTATTTTTAAACTGTACACAAGTAGAAACCATTCAACTAAAGAGACAATGCAAGTGCTACAGTATAGTCAGATAAAACACAGTCGATCATTTGTAAATAGTTCTAACATTCATTTTATGAATGACTGTTTTCTCTACAGGCGGTGCAAATGTTATCTAGAAGTACAGAATACAGAGATTGGGGTTTAACAGTACACGAACACCCCTGAGCTGTTCCCTTGTGTCCTCTTCTCCTTCAGTCTCAGGCACCACCGTTCAGCATGCCTCAAGGAGCATGACACACATGCTCAACTGTTACTTTCAGCAACTTCCAAACTCAGATGATAAACTGAAAGGCCTTAAACCTTTTCTTGGAAGCACCTTTAAAAACAGGTGTTAGCAACCAGGTTTGAAGTACTCAGAAACTCTCCACACAGAAATACTGATCAACTGAGTGGAGAAGTCTCTATTTAAGACCTAACACTGCCTTGCTTTAGTGTTCCAGTGTTCCATCCATCTCTGTGATGTCCAAACAGAGACTGAAGACAGAAACACTGGCAGATATTCAACCTTCCTTCATGAATATTAAAGGCAACACTGGTTTCAATCTCCTACAATCATACATTCAGGATTGATACTCTGAAGGGTCCCATTTTGGTTGTCAGTATTAGATACCCTTCCCCACACATGTCAGTCATGGCAATTCTTTTTCCAAAACGAAGCTTAAACCTCAACACCTAGAGATACAGATAGCAATGCATTTCCTATTAAAAGTTCCAGAACAGTTACCATAATTTGATTTTAAATCAATGTCTAGTAGAAATTTCAGAACAACAGTAACAGGTATCTACTGCAAAATTTCCAGAGGTCACCTTCACTGTTTACAAGAGCAGCTGTGCAACAGATAAAAAAATTTGAGATGAGTAGGTGTTTGATTTCACCTTTTCCTCTGATGTGAACTTTTGACCACAACCTATCCCCATTTAGACCTCTTGTCTCTAAAGACTGACAGTGTTTTGGTCTGACCTGATAAGGCCACTGTCTCCAAGTTCAAGTCCTGTTATAGTTTATTTTCTTTACATGCAACATAAACCAAGTTTTCCCACAGACTCTTCAACAGCTTCAGATTTCTGCAAGCATTTCATTTAATCCAAGTATTTTGACTCAAACAAGTCATCTTTGATGATCCATGAAATACAGTTTCTCAACACGTAAGAGTTAGGTGTAAATAACTGTTCTCAATTATATCTTGCTGGCACAGCCCATTTCTTTCTTTAGCTTTAAACACCTCTCCTCTGAAACCTAAGTATTCTCTCTGAAATTATTGTAACAGAGCAATCTTAGAGCAGTTATTTTCCTCATTTAAAAATCACTGAATAGTACCTTCACTTCTTTAGAGCCACATTTCCACTTGAGCATTCTTCAATATTGTAAAGCCAATAGCAAGACCCATCACCAAAAAGAAGTCAGAAATTTACCAGATAAGACCAAAAACTGCTATCTTTTACTAATTTAACATAAATTAATCAACACTTTTATTTATCTGTTGGAATTAAATTTTCCAAGCTTAGTAGAGACTGGCATTATTAGATTACCTTCCCCACTTAGACTCCTACTTTCTTAGTTCAGCAAGCAGTGTGCCCTGGCAGCCAAGAGGACAAACCACATCCTGGGGGGCATCAAGCCCAGCAGGATCAGCTGGTCAGAAGAGGGGATTCTCCTGCTGCATTCAGCCTTGGTGTGGTCTCACCTGGAGTGCTGGGTGCAATGCTGGGCCCCATGGTTTAGGAAGGATGTGAAGGGACCTGAATGTGTTCAGAGGAGGGCAACAAAGCTGGTGAAAAGAGCTGGAAGGAATGTCCTGTGAGGAACAGCTGAGGACTTTGGGTTTGTCTAGTTTGGAGAAAAGGAGGCTGAGGGGGGTTGGACTGGATGATCTTTTGAGGTCCCCTCCAGCCCTTAACATTCTGTGATTCTGTGAAGTGGTCAGGCAGTTGGACTAGATGATTGTTGTAGGTCCCTTCCAACTGGAACTACTCTATTCTAGTTCACAGCTGCTGTCTTAAGATGAATTACAGCTTAAACTTTGGAGACTTTATAGTTTCTGTTATTAAATTTCACAGATGGAACACTGTCTTTAACATTTAAATCCTGCATTGCAAATTAGGCAATCTAAATTGTTTCTTTTCACATGACATGTCCAAATCGTGGAAAGACCTGTCACTAGCATGAAACAAAATGAAATAGGCTTAAAATACTTTTCCTGTAATGTCAGCCATGAAGTGTCTCTGAAAATGCAATTATGCAGCCATTTATAGTAGTGTTTATCTGGATTTTACTTACTTGACCAACCATTTAAATTCACAGCAATACAAGCATCAGAGACGCACTGAATCTGTTTGGTACATTAGTTAGGAATTTGTTTAGATGGGGCAAAATTAGACAATCCTTAAAATTTGTAGTATATTAATTTTTTTCATTATCTAAAAACTGTTCAACCTAATTAAGAATGTACTAATGTCTAACTGTACTAATGTCTAACTACTTTCAAAAAAGGTGACAAAACTCTTCAAGTATCTATTCTACCACTTAATATATATTTCTATTGTGGAAATAAAACCTTGGTGTCTACATGCTAGAAAAAAAAATATATAGTTGGCTTAACTGTCATGTACTTTTACATTGAACTATTCGATAACACAAATTGTTGGATTTAAGTTTTTTTGGTTTTTTTATTTTTTCCTTCTACCACAGTTTTACCAGAAATTGTGAATTTTCCTATTCAAATCATCTTTTTGTGTACTTTGTGTGTTAAACCACTGACTAAAGGACCCATGTTGTTTAAAATAGTTGATAAGTGGAATCTTCTGATTACCATGGAGCACACTACAGATAGATCAGTGAGGCAGTTCAGTCTTCCCACCCATTGTCACTCTAGAGCAAAGTAGATGGCATATTTGAAACAGGAGTTCAGAAATCATTCATAATACTGCTACTGACATCTTGCAGTAACAATTAATGCAGTTGCCACAGTGATATCTTGCAGTTTGATTTTAACGACAAAGATTAGAAATGAAGCCACAAAATACTTTTTTAACAGGCTCTTTGACACTTATCAAACAACATCTGTCACCATTCAGTTCCACTTAACATAAAATTTGCATCATCCAATTGAAATACCCTGTCTTCACAACAAATTCAGGTACATTTGAGCCTTTCTACAGGAATTCTTCTAGTCTGAAAATATACTTGGTAAAATTAAATTTTGTCCAAGAATTTCTGTAAAAACATATGTAACTAACAATGCTTAATGAAATACTATCAATAGTTATTTTAAATGGCAAAACTAAAATACAGAAAAAAATCATTCATTATTGAGAGCTAAAACAAGTAAATTTTTTGCTTCCAGATCTTACCTAACATTATCCTAATCACTTGCTCAAGATATAACAGGGTATTTATCACAAATTAGGGCACAATATTAAAACACAGAACACAAACAAGCCTTTCAAAACACCCTGACAAAGACACTCCTCAATACTCACCCATCATTAGAACATGTCAAAAATTCTTCCTTTATTTTTGGATGCCAACAGCCTGAATTGAGCATTGCTGTGTGACCCTAAGAGAATAAACACAAAGAGGTCTTAGAAAGTTTTCTAAGATGTCTTAAAAGATTTTATATTTTTTACTCCAAATACATCAAGGGAAATCATATGAAAACTGAGGGCCAAATCAAACCACTCTAACCATAGCAATGGCTGACTGACATCACAGAGATTTTATGTACTCTAACAATTCCATCGTTGCTTGTCTTCATTTTCAAATTATAAAAATCTGCCATTCTTCCATTTGTATTTTTCCCTTTCAGCAAATGGGATGGAATCATACTTCCACTTTTTCTCTTGGGAGAATTGTATTGCAGAGATAGGATTAAACACTAGGCATCAATATGGTGTCTTGCAAATTGTTCCAAGCTACATAAAAATAACAGGAATAACAAGGGAATTACCATCATGACACAACCATACATGCTCAAGGCCAAACTACATTAGCCAAAGACCTTGTCAGAGAAAACTGAGGAAACAGAATTCAAGAGTCAAGATGGATTTAACTTCAGTTGAGTTTTCCACAAAACATTACAAGCTGCAAATTCAGTAGTCAGTCCTGTTTCTTTATGATGGAGAAAAGACAGGGTAAGAATTTTATCCAAAGTAAGTGATTGCCGTTATGGTGCCTATGAATATAAAACGTCTTTGTCCAGTTGGCTTTACTCTGAAGTACAGGCACATGCTCACCCATTACATTCAAAAAGAAATTTGGCAACTATACTCGCAGTGCTGCAATTACTTCTATTTGCTTTAAGCACAAACAGAGAGAGAAATACTGAAAAGTGAATGGGGCGATGTAACAAATATTTTAGTATATTGGCTGTTGGACCACAATACACTGGAATTCTAGACATTTACAAGAGAAAGAAAATAAGAATTATTTTTAAGTAAACAAGAACTAAGGTAGATTTTACTGTTTTAAGGTTTTATACATGTATCACTAGTCAAAAGAAACAGTTATCTGACAAGAACACCTTCACGTAAAACAGCATTTAGTCTAGTTATTTGGCAATATACTTCATAAGCAATAAACAAATCAACTCTAACATCAGTTTAAGAAGTAGACTTTATCACTACTTTTTATCACCACTAGGCCTAACCTATTTTTAAAAATGACCGGCATTTAAATCATCTGTGCAAACAGAACCCTTGTCTCAGAGTTTGTGGAATGACAAAGAGAAGAGGTCAAAAACAATCAACTCTTGTTAAAAATACTTCAGAATTATCAGTCCTCCTCCATTTGTATTTTCAGCTACCATTAAAGATTTATACATAGTTGCTTATTAGTCTTATGGTATACAAGTAACCATCTCCAACACTCGACCTGACAGAGGTGAAGTGTATCAGCGCAAGAATTTTTGGTTGGTTGGATAAAAGTGTGGGGGAAGCTGGCAATTTTTACAAGATACACTCTTGAACAGATGAATTTGTTGTAGCCTCATAGAAACATTAGTTGGAAGAGACCTCTTGAGTTTACCTATGCCAACCTTCAGCTCAAAGCCTGATTACAGTCACTACCAGATCAGATCATGGTTTTGTCTAGTTAGGTCTTGAAAACTTCCATGGATGAAGGTCCCACAACTTCCAGCATGTATCAATGAATGAGACTACCACGCCCCAGAGACAGGGCTTTGCATTCTTCCTTACTGAATTTCAGGAAGTTTCTTGTTTAGAGCAAAAATACACTATATTTTAAGTCCTCTGGCAATCGATTAATTTCTGACCTTACCTTTGTGTTTGTCATATCCACAATGTATTGGTCTCCTTTTATGCACTCCATTACTGGGAAGCCATCTCTGTCAAGAACTTTCGCTTGTGAGTTACCAGATACAACCAGAATGACATCACCTGTGCTGCTATATTGTAAAGATTTGATTTGGTGACTAAAACAAAAACAAAGAAAATGTTCAAATTAGCTCCAGTTCCTGGAATCCCACCTTAAATCCAAAGTGTCAATGTTGACAAATGTTTTGCAGAAACAGACCCATATACACTCCTATAGCAAAGGGGGGAAGGAGGCGAGCCAGCCGGCCACGACATACCCTGGTATTAATGGACTAAAGCTTTTTATTCTTGTGTGTGTGCATGTCACATTCCCTTCTATAACCATGCAGCACATCAAACAATATTATTTACAAAGTTGGCACTTAAAATGTAATTTCTGGCAAACATTTAAGAATGCTCTTATAACTCCAAGTAAAATGTAGTATGTGTCAGATTCAGCTCTTCAGGGCTGAAAACTTTTTCCATCTCTCAAAAGCAATCTGCAGATTTACAGCAATCTGCAAATCACTACAAAAGGATACTGTAGTCCTACACAAAATTCCACTGTGCATTGTACATGAGGAAATTAGTAACATGTCAGTATTCTTGTATCCTTTTCTGTGTGCAGGGCTACAGTTTCATCAGAATCTTAAATACAAGTTCAACACTGGAAACACGACAGTGTGCAACAATCTGCACAGTCTGTATGTCTTAGATGATTGTTCATTTACTGTAAAGGTTTTCTTACAAATGTCTTCTATTGATTGAGAAACCTGGGACAGAAATCAAACAATAATACCAAGACAACAAAAATTATGAACTTAAAGGGGGGAGATGGCTGATGAATGACAAGTCCATTTGCAGCTTCAGCACCTTCTCTGGTTGCACTGCTTTATGAACAAAGCTCACGCACAGTTGCTCTGTCTGAAGCAGATACGCCTTTGATGCCCTACCTGGATATACTTTATTATAAGGATGGCAAACAATGCAAAGCAGTATATCCACTCCACACCTACCAGAATTTATATCCTTCCACATTAACAGAATGTGCACGGTAACACTGCTTTATATTAAAGCTACGGCTCTGCAGCTAAATTAACCTTGAATTAAAGACTGAATGCATTTCCCAGCTAGATTTGGATTCCCCTAGCATCTAAACTGTTCTCAATGAAGCATCTTCCTTTTCACAGAACCAAAATCACAGAATGGTAGATGTTGGTGGGGACATCTGGAGATCACCTAGTCCAACCCCTCTGCCCAAGTATGTTTGGCTAGGACAGGTTACATAGGAACATATCCAGGCAGGTTTTGAAAGTCTCCAGAGAAGACGACTCCATGGCCTCTCTGGGCAGCCTGTTCCAGTGCTCTGTCACCCTCACAGGAAAAAAGTTTTTTTTACTCCTGTTTAGGCGGAACTTCCTCTGTTCCAGTTTGTGCCTGCTCGCCCTCATACTCTTGCTGGGCACCAATGAAAAGAGACCAGCCTCATCCTCTTGACACCCACTCTTCAGATAAACATCGATAAGAGACTCTTTCAGCCTTCTCTTCTCCAGGCTACACAGGCCCAGGCCTCTCAGCCTTTCCTTGTAAGAGAGATGTTCCAATCCCTTAATCATCTTCACAGCCCTCCACTGGACTCAAGATCTTCAGTAGTTCCCTGTCTCTCTTGAACTGGCGATTCCAGAACTGGACACAATATCCCAGATGTGGCCTCACCAGAGCACAGTGAAGGGCATAAACATGCGCATTAAAATCTTTGTAGCTTTAAGGAAACTACTTTTAAACACAATTTCTTACCAGTACAGTTAACAGTCAGATGATCAACAAAACTGGCTATGCAACTTGTAACAACAATGTAATGTTTCACATCTTATATGGTAGTGACTTCATGACTGACTCAGCAGTAGCTATTATCTGTTGAATCTGTCCTCGAACTGCACGTTACTACATCCAACACACAAATGATTGCAATACGTGTTTTAAAAGTTCTGCACAATCACAGTAATGTAAACCAAGCGTAAGTTTCTTATTCAAAAAGTGCTTGGCAAAACCGATTATGTTGTGATTCAATAGCCAAAAACTGCTTCAAGCACCCTATTATGTAACACAAACTGGCAGCCAAACTGGACATAGTATTGTAAACTCAGATTTTAAGAAGGAGATGCTCAGATCTGGGCATTTTTGAAATAGATCACAGGCAATGTCTGAAAAAGCAGAAGAGCTCAGAAGAGAGAAGGCCAGCCACATTAAGCTCAGAGGGTACACAGAAAAAACATAAAAGAAACCCACATGAGAAACAGTATTTGAAGTCTAGCATATTCTCTGCAGGCAGATGATAAACCTAGATTGAAGTATCCATCAGACTCCGCTTTCAAGTGACAACCATATCTTAGGAATTAGAAAATTTTCCTGAGTTGTATTTCCAAGTGTTCTTGCCTGAAAATGGACTTCTCACTCATCAGCCATGATTTGTACAAAGCTCACAATATTCCTGAGCCCCACCTGCATAGTGCATGAAGAATTAAGTACTTCTCTAGTTAGATTTCTCACATTCTAATGCCAAAATTGTCTAAAAAAATACCCAACATATCTTCAAAGAAGAGATGTGTGTTTTGCAATTTCAATTACTGAAGTGTAAGAACCAAAAAAAAAAAAAAATTAAAAACTACACTAAAACATTATTTTTACTTGATGCACACCTCATGAAAAGAATTTGTCTACTAGATATGATCAATCTTCTGAGAAAATGGTTTTTCAGATACTGAAGTACTAAAATTAAAACTACAGACATTAATATTGTAAACATGGCACTGCGTATAATTTGACTAATTATTTGACCAGGCCTCATTGCTTCTTTGTAGCTCTACATTAGCATGTTTGAACAACCTTTGTGTTCATCTTACATTTAGATTTTAAGAATACACCTTGCTACTCCCTAATTGCAAGAATGTATTTATCTGAAAGTTCACTGTGCATGAGACATGTACTCCTTTCGAAGGAGTTCCGTATTGCAGTACTCTGGAGTAACTAAATGAACTTGGTTCATCTACTTGCTGAATTATCAGTTAACAGCATGTATAGCACGGAAATAATTATAAGAAATACTTCTTGTATTGGTATGGGCTTTTTTTTAGATTTACATATATAGAGATAAATGCAAATAAATATATAGCTTTTTCTCTTCAAAAAAGACAATAGACATACTTTTTTTCTAATGCGCACTATATAGCTATACAATTATCAGTGCAATGTAAAGGAGCAGTGCTTCCTGCAGAAAGAGAATTTAATGAAAGTTGGATACCCCACCACTTCGAAATACTGGCAGCAACTACAGAGGCTCTGCAAAAAGAGTCAGTTCTTTTAACTTCTCTTCTTCATTAACTGTATATAAGCAGAGGACATATAGAAAGCATATTCTGTTAATTTGGATTATAAGTATGAAGGTCAACCTGTCTCTCTGAGAGGTGCATAATCCACTTGCTGATATGCTATTAATTTCATCTGCAAATTTCTCCTTTCTAAAAGGAGAAAATACACAAGTCATCCAAAAAAAACCATGAAAAGATATAGGCAGACCTTAGGTTCACACTCTGCTTACCACAAAAAGGACAAGAGTATACACAAGCATTTTTAAACAGGCTATCTCACGAGGCTTTCATGCTTAAGTTCATTAGGAACTTAACAAAGGCACAGTCTTATCTTAGTGAAAAAAGCAGCCTTGATGCCTACCATTCACAAGGCTGGAGTGACCGAAAAGCTTGGAGAGAGGCATCCATTCCAGCAAAATCCCAAAATTTAACATCGTAGTCATAGCCACCAGTTATCAAACGGGCACCTGAAGGATCCAACCCCAAAGCAGAAACCTGTGCATATGAAAAAACAAAAACAAAAACCACTCCAACACAAGGAAACAAAAAACAATCTCAAAACATTCCATTTTTTTTTTCCCTAAGTTCTTTAGGTGTCACAACTACAAACCCTACAGTGTGCTAAAAAATACATCAGCTATGTTTTGATGTTAAATTTTCACTGTTGTGTATAACGTCTGCATACTTTACAAGGGGGAGAGAGAATGGAAATGGAAATTACATAATCTGAATAAACCACTGAAGACAGCTGAGAAAAGTTAGTGTTTGCTTCCTAATAATCTCATTGAAGGATTTAGATGTGTTTAATTTCTGTTAAAAAAACCCTGTACACTAGGCTTTTGTCAAATGTACAATTAGTATTTCTGGCAAGTTACTGAAATGGCATTTAACATCCATTAGTTTAAAATCTTGCATGAGTTTATTCCAGACAGTTCATGTACCTATATGTGTTTGGTTAAATTTCTCTTCTGAAACAAAAAGAAAATAAAGTACGAATGCTATACAAAAAAAGAAAAATCACAAAATTTTAAAAACATACTATATTAAGTAAAAATATTCAAAATAATTACTTGTGTTATATACAAAACTAGTTGCTTAAAGCTACTCAGAACTTTGAGGAAAAAACGTTTAATTCTCATTATTCTCATCGGTTATCGTCAAATCGAAGGTTGACTGATATGGGATTTTTAGTGAAAATCCTATTTTAACACCCTATTTGAAAAACACTATTATAGACGTGTTCAAGCCACCATACAGTGAACACAGCAAAAGAAAGCATCTCATTGACTAAATGTCCTTGCACTGCCCTTAAAGATTATTTCTTCTCTTTTCTTATTTGTGAAAATATCTACTACCACGATTGCAGGCATTAATAAAAGACTGGCTATACAATGTGCTATAATTAATTTGTAGAGATTGATTCTCAAAAATTAAGCCAATTACACAAGAAGGTGATGAAAAGTGATGTCAGAAATTGTAAAAAGTATTTTTAGAATTACTCAAAATTACACCCAGCCTGTAATGTTAAAATGACTGAAAAAGTTTCCATGAAAAGATAAAACTCATATGGAATTCATGGTTAGGTTTTAACCCCTAGAACACATTTTAACCTCTATTAGGCATTTCAGGTCAGGCAGACCACGGGTAAAACTCAGACTGTAAACACAGTCTGGCTTTCAACCACTGGACCAAAAACTGGGTCATCCCACATGATTCATCATCAGATTTAGAAACCTTTTCACAACAAGGAGGACAGTCTTCAACACAAGAAAATAAAGTGATAATATTTTTTTTTAAAGTTCTGGAAAATTCCTGGGAAGGGATCTGAAGAGATGAGACAAAGAATTCTGAAGGGGAAAAAAAAAATAAATCTTATACTCCACCAACAACATTCAGACTTAAAGAAAATTGTGGGGAGAAAAAAAATAAAAGAACCCCAAACTTGTATACACAATAAAAGAAGGAAAAGAATTATAACAAATAAGAATAGTGCCATGGCTATACAGTAACAATGCTAAACTTCTTCAGGCAGGAATACAGACATTTTAAAAAAATCAGGTGAATCACTTTCCAATGCCTAAACCTGAGTAATAAAAATTCCACATATGCATGTATGAAAATTACAAGAATTTGCATATAAGAATTTTTGTCTGTATATAACCTCTTTACATGTATACATGAAAACAGCTCTATGCATGATAGTCACTATGATTTAATGCAGACACACAGAGGTACCACAAAAAAAAAAAAAAAATCTCATCTCAAAGATATATCAGTCTACTACTGTACTTTTTTTTAAAGCTTTAGTATATACAATGTGTTATGGAGACTTTTAAAACTTATGTAAACTGTTGAATAGTTCCCACACAAAAAACTGTTTAAAAGAATGGAATTTAGCATGAGCTGTTCTCCTTTTCCATGCCTAGTTGAAAGAGTAACCTACAGAAAGTAGATGTTTCAATAAAAATGAAGTTATGAATGGATTTTTTAAAAGAGACAATTTTTTTTTCTAAAATTGTTTCCTTACATGAAAAAGTACAAGCTTCTTTTAACTTCTTTTTTTCCAGTTTCATGCAGAAAAGGAATACCTAGCTATGTATTCCTTATTTTGTCAAAGACTCATATCTAGCCATTTTCTCCTTAAGGCTCACGCTACTGCACATGCTGCTACCTCACTATTTCAAACATACAGAGCTATCACATAGGCAAGAACTTGAAAAAGAATGACTTTCAGAAAACCAACATGTTCAGAAATGTTGCTGCTGCTCACCAGGCAACTCGTTCCTTCTTAATCTAACTGTCCTGACTTATTGTAAAGGAATCCACTTCTAGAGATCTTGTCTTTCAGTGGTCTACAGCTTCATTCTTCTAAAGAATGCAAAGGATCATCAGATGTCCTAAACCAATGCCCTCCCCCCCCCAAAAAAAAAAAGAAAAAAATCTAATTTATGGAGTTAGTAATAGATTCAGCATTTTTTTTTTTAATTCCCTGAATCAAATGTTTAAAGGTACTGCTCCGTGCTATACGTAAGAATGAATTACACTCCATGTACTCATAATGTCACTGTGACATATTTCATTTTCAAATGTAACAGATGTAAGCTCTTACATATTTGGGGTTTTTTGGGTTTTTTTGTTTGTTTGTTTGTTTGTTTGGGTTTTTTAAAAAAGAAACGTCCCTTTTACCATTTAAGTGCAGATTTTGAACCCTATTGACTTCATTCATGATTTCTAACATGCAGAAAATCTGAGCATCTCCAGATCAATCATGCATTCAGTTAATAGACTCAAGTGTTCAATTCAACAGGAACTACTACAGGAGGAAGCAGCTGTGATATGAGATGTCAGAAAGCACACTGTTCAGAATCCCTCTGATTACGTATTCTTTCTCATACCAACCTATGTATCAGAAGTGTCGGAAGAAAAAAAATAATCCCTGAAGTTTCAATGGGAACAGTAACTCCTATTACACTGCACAAGCAAGGCAATCGGGAAATTAATCATGTTTCTGGCAAGACTCTCCAGCTTGGGAAATCTTTCCTGAGACTTTTCAGCTGCACAGGAATAGAGTCATCATCAAACCCATGTTCATTAGACTGAAGAGGTACAGATGGGATACATGAGTTTAGCTGAAATACAATACACTGTATGAATATGAGAAGACTGTATTTTAAAATGTTGGGGTGAAACACTGACAGCAAGATAGGAAGCTGCTCCCATCCTTACGTGTGTGCAATGACGTAGGTAAGTAGTTTTATTATTCCAAAACAAAAGATACTTGTACAGAAGACGTTTTCCAGTTTTTCATTCACTGTATCCAGTTTAATCCAATTGTGCTATCTATGCCCACATAGTAAGTAACCTCTGCCCTTAGTGATGATAGCTGAATTTTCATGCAGTCAAAATACCTCAGAATTCTTCCAAAACCGTAACTTCCACTTTACAAAGCCTTTTAGTTAGAAATTACATGGGCTTATGCTTTAAGAAGCAATCCAAAGATTTATTATTTTAATATAACGAAAAATAAATCAGAAAAAATTATAATGTAGTATGTTAGGAAATGCATTCAAGAAACACACTGCAGAATTTTTAACGTGACATGTAAAATGGAACTGGTTTGCACCACTACACTAGTATGGAAATCCTCGTATGCACAGAAATTAGTATGCAAAGAAGTTACGTGCACCTACACCCATGCCACGTTTATTTAGTGTGTTGTACGTATAATGCATCTTTTACAAGTCTTAAAAAATAATATTTTCTATTTTCATTTATAATATTTGTTACTTCTTTCCTCTCCTCCATCTATGTCTGTATGACTAATACTATAACAAAGGGATGAGTCTTATCATCTCTTCACACTACACGACAGACCACAAAGTCTGATGCCAGATTAATGAATAGAAACTGCTGAAAATAATTAATCCTGAAAGCTTTTTTAAAAAAATTATGATCTTTCCTGTTAAGTCTAAGCACTTAGAAAATTCCTTCTAAAAATTCAATACATATTAAGAAATTATTAAAAATTTAAATATTAAACTCATAAATTATCGATTCTTACCGGTTTGATATATATGTTAGTTTAATAAGTTTATATTTAAAATTACTATTTAATACTGTTGAATGTTAAATTACTAAGTGTATGATGATATTTATTACATAAACAGAAAATTAATCTACAAACTTTCATAAAAAAACAGTAAAGGAAAATTATACATTTCCTTTGACTGTTTAAAGCAATTTTTCTTTCCTTATTTTATTTCTTCCCTTCTCGAAACAAATTCCCAGGCATGAATGCCATGAGTGAGAATTCTATTAACTAGCTGACAGTGTTTTCACAGCAATATTATAACAACAACATAAATTCTAGTATTATTTTCTCCTTGAAGCCTAAATCATGGCCCAAACTGATGAGGATAAACAGCCACAGCACCTTTTGAATAACTAAAGAAAAACTATGAAGAAAGGATTTGGGAAAATATATTCTGTTCTATTAAAATAGATATTTGACCAATCAGCACATAAAAGCAGTTGAACTTGTGTTAGAAAATTGGACTACCCAGAGATAAAGATACTGAGAAAAAATAAATGATTGCTTCAGGTGAGACAGTGGTTCTTTAAAGAAAATGAAGGAGAAATATTGGAGGTGAAACCTAGAAAAGTAACAGTCAAGGATGAGGAATATTCAAGGAGAATGAAGGAGATGTGTATTCAAGAAGTCTTAGAAACTTCAGCCATGACACTCTCTCCAAAATCCACACCCAAAGAATGGTCCAGCCAGATTAGACCTAGGTCCAGACTATGAAGGCCTAGCCTACTAGAGAAACTCTTAACAACTACGGCTGTAGTATCTCTGACAAAAAGGAAGAAAATTGACTCAACTGCAGTTGAGTCAAACACAGCCATTTTTGGATTATTACAAGACAGCAAAAAGGCAGTCATAAACATACGTTCAATTATAACAAGAAAACAGCTAGACTAAAACAACAAACTAAGAAAAAGAATTATCATCTTGAACTTCAGCTGACAAAAACTATTCGTTAACTTACTTGACAGACTGGCTCAGTTCTAGAAAAACAAGAAGTGTTGAAAATGTGTTATCACTTACTGTTTTTGTCCCATGTTGGAGTGTAATTTCATGAGAATCTGGAATTTTCTTGACAGGGTTCTGGAAAAAAAAAAAGTACATCCACCTCTGTGAAAATGATGCTACAATTAAAAAAAATAAATTAAACAAAATCCCCAATACTGCAATATATATAAAAGCAAGAAAGGTTCATCTCATATGGAGGACTCTATGAAATTAACAAAATTAATGAAAAAAATCAGAAATTCATTACAGAAGCTAAGTTATCTATGCATTTTATTAAGATTATGGACTGGCTTCCCACTTCCACTTGTGCCATTATCCCCAGTGCTCACAGGTCTTCACAGCTGTCTCTTCGATGGCAGCCATAACAAAGCCATTGTAATACTAGGAATTTCATTTAATAGCAACATACAGATCAAAGGCAATTACAGTTTAAAACATGTAACACATCACACTAACATCTGTAACACAAGTATGACAACAGTTTAAACAGAAAGAAATGTCCTGAAAATACTCAGGTGATGGCAAGTTTCTACAAAGGTCATTTGAATGTTTATTCTCAAAATGCTCATTTGTCTGGTACCACTTAAATTTCCTAAAAGAGACAAAATCCATCATTTTTAATGCCTGACATCTATTACAATTTTCTGTTGCCAAAGTCTGATTTTAAAATAACTTTAAAACACACTTGATATTATATATCTCATTTGTTATCCATCTTGGCCAATTCCTTCCCTTTTATCATGCTTGCCACAGAAAGTCTCTATAGCATCAAGCTGACATCCTTTATACTCATTCTATCCTGCAGTTGTCAGCTTTAGTTCTCCATTAAAACTGAAACCTTCATTATCTTAGATTTAGCCCAATCTACCTTTCTTCTAATTTCTTGCCATTAACAACAGTGCTCACTTTCAAGCCAACTGTGTAATTTCTCTCCTTTTATGCACATAGATGTATCAAGACAATCCGGTAGAGGACTCATGCCCTGTCTTCACATTTACAGCATATGCACATACTCAACAGTCACAGGTGTTGTAAGGGGAACTTGAGTATTAGCATGGAAATCATATATGCAACGAAAGAAAAAAAATATTTATGGGACAGTGGTCCATGTTAAGTATGAAAAGGTATGTACTGGGTCTCGCTGTGATGTAGGTAGCTTTCCCCACAGCAGCTGTCATAGTGCTGTGCTTTGCACTGAGAGAGAGGTGTTGATAACTCACTGATGTTTTGGCCGCTGCTGAGCGTGGCACAGCATCAAAGGAGTATCACAACACCCCCTCACCAGCAGGCTGGGGTGAGCAAGACCTTGGGAGGAGGCATAGCCAGGTCAGATGACCCAAACTGACCAAAGACATACTCCACACCACCTGGCATTTGCTCAGCAATGAAAGTGAAGAGAAACTGGGGGCGGGGGGATTCCTCATGACAACATTTGTCTCCCAGAGCCACTGCTACACGTCCTGAAGCCCCACTTCCCAGGAGGGAGGTCGCAGCTCATCACCTCATTCCATGTTCATGGAAGCAGAGAAATTACCATTTTGATTTCCTATGCTTCCACACACGGCCTTTGCTTTTGCTTTAAACTGTCTTCATCTTGACCCACAAGGGGTTTTTTTCCCTCTTATTTTCTTCACCCCAGACCCCCTGTCCTGCTGAGAAAGGGAGTAATAGAGCAGCTTGGTGGGCATCTGGTGTCCAGACAGGGTCAATCCACCACAAGGTAACAGTAAGGACTGACAAATGGCATGACATAGTGAAAGGTATAGCCCCATGGCATGGCTTTCAAGTTGAGAACCACATATAACTCAACTTTCCCAAGTGGAGCTGTAATTATGAAAATTAGTATATTGTTCAGTTGACATCACAAAGCACCTAGGTAAAGGTATGATTATAATTCAAATTTTCTGTGCCTCCTCATTCCTTGAGCTATAAATTGTTATTTTCTTTTCTCAGGATGCAAAAAACCGTTCAACGACCACTGTCTGTACCTGACTTCTAAGCACATTCCACAAAAAGTGTAGTGCAAGAAGGAAACAAACAGCTTCCAAGAGTCATACTGCCATCACTACCAAGAAAAGGTTTACTACTACTGTGAATCAGAGGCTTTCACAGAAACCATCCATTGCTGGAAGAAGCAGTATTTTTGTCATTCTCATGTTAACGACAGCACAGCTGCTTATTTTATATTCCAGTTCACTTGCTGGAATATTATATGGTTGCTAGATTATATTTTGAGATACATTTTGTATGCCTTACCACCAGGCATAGGTAGGTATCGTATAATTATATTGTGTCAGCACAGAAATTAATTTTGAGAGGGTATCTTAACTACTTTAAGAGTTCTTTCAATAATTCATACAGTGAAAAATTATTAATCAACAAAATGTGCTAGAAGAAACATTTAATTTTCATTGCCAGCTCCTCAAGGTGACAATTATTAAATCCCTCTTTTAATGAGAAAAATGAACCAGTCACATAAAAACATTTTTGCTTCATGGTGCACTCACATTGAACACTTCTCTGGTCACTTATCTTTCAGGGAGAACAACAGATAGGAATACATTCTGTCACCTGATAAATCAACCAGCCTGAGTCTGAAAGTCTGACATTTGGCGACTGCCAGTGGTGCTTCACTGCAGTATCCAAGGGATCCCTGACAGTTAAAAGTAACTGTTTAGACTACTTAAAACAAAAAAAAATTAAGATAACAACCTCCAGGAACATACCTTGGAATAACAACTTCAAACCATTCAAACACTTACAAAGAAATCAAGATGGCTTATTCTATTTTAGTAACTATGAACTTCCCAAATGATATAAATATCTCTAATCCGCTACAACAAATACCTTTATGCGCACACAAAAATCAGATCCAACCACCACTTCTCCAGTTATTACCTTCCAAAGTATAACGAATGACAAAATCCTTTTTTCACCTCTCAAAGGAAAATACATTTTATTATTATGATTTGAATATCAGAATCCCATGTATAATGTAATCATACTGTAAGTCTCAAAAACTAAAAGGTAGAGTTTGCACCAAGTGTAACTGCACTTCCACGTCTCCCAGTTGTTCCTCTGATTTTAGCTTAGTTTACACAAATGGTTAATGTTATTCCAGAAAATGAGGTTAGAACTTTCCAGAACTTTTTTGTTGCCTTTTTACTCCCCCCCCCTTCTCAAACCATAATGTAGAAGGACAATATGTTAAATTTATCCTTCTCTTTTTGCAGAAACAATGGAAAAAGGTTCTGGTGCTGACATAACTCCTAATATTTTTTAAAAATTCTCAATCCCCCGTTTTACATAGGATTAATATATACTAAAAATGTGAAATAGTGCATTCTAGAGGTTCACCATTTTTCTCAAAAATGAAGTCTTATCTTTTAAGTAATTTCTGTAAAGGGATATGTGAGTCAGACCTCGTGTGTTTTTTCAGGGAACTTCAGCTGCAGCTGACTGGTAAGCTCCTAAGTCTGACAATACTCTTCTATTCACTGCACCACTGTCCCTAAATACTGTGGATTTTTATTTCTTTTTTCTTGTTCCTTTTGGGTACTTCCTTATCTTCAGAAAATATGCCACTAGAAACCACAGCCTGAAACTAGATCAGAGTCTCCAAGATCTCTTGAGAAAAATCCAAGACAAAACAAAAAAAAAACCCACCAAATAAACCTATGATGCAGGTCAGATCAGACAAGTGAGAGGATTGACACAAAAAGGAAAAATTAATTAAAATCTAGATTTCTACATCATACAAGATATCCACCAATATCCTTTGGATTGTAAATAAGGGCAATAATCATCATTTGGACCTGGCAGAAGACTGAGGTATACGGGAGGTGGTAAATGAATGGGCTGGTATCTTTATAATAAAGCAAACATTTGGATGGCAAGAAAGTTAGGTCCTACAGAAGTAATGAAAAAAAAAATGCACTAAACAGGATCAGAGAGGAATTTACAGTTTAAAAAAAAAAAAATCTCAACCTTTACCTTTTAGCCTTTCTAATAGATTGGCCACTTTAAAGTAATTTTAGAATGATTAACATGACCATTAGATTATGTTCACGAGTTGAAATGGATAAAAGCAGATTATGAAAAGCTAAATGTAAATTCCACAAAGACATAATCTGCTGATGTCACATACAGAGTAACTATGAATTGCATTTGGTGAAACATAAATTCTTCCACTACAATCCAACCTCTTCCTCTCTATAAATACCCCTACAAGTTAGAATATAGGTCCTCAAAACAACTCACCTTCTCCTGGCCTGACCAGAGAAGGGCAGAATGATGCATTTATGCCTCGAAGTACCTCCACTGCTCTGTTTGCAGAGTTCTGTATTTCACTAAATGAAACTATTCTATGTGAAAGACACTTGCAAGCTGTAAGTGGTATTTCACACACCAGGCCCTTTAAATGGGAACTTTTCTGGGCACAAGATGACAAATCAACAGAGGAAACAATACCATTTTTTGCTCTGTGTTTACAAAATTTGTCTGTAGGTTTCAGTATACAGGATCTTGTCTTCCTTCTGATTTCAAGATCATATGTTGCCCTGGCAGAAAATACACCCTCCTTTTTTTTAGATAGCTCTTGTCTTCTTAGAACTCTTCCCAAATGCTGACTTCCTGGAGATTTGAAAATTAAAACTACAAAACTACAGCTGGTTGAACTAAAGGTGAGCACCTTCCCTGGCTGGAGCAGGTAAAGAGGTTAAAGTTGGCTTTGCTACTATTTTAAGTACCTTAAGTATTATGGAAAAGAACACCTGCTGCTAGAAGTTTAAACATTCACACACTGCTCTTCTGGGCATCTGGCATAGTAGAGCAGGCAATGATGTTGCTGTCTGTTCATGGGCAGGAGTGAAGGGAAGGATACACCCACGGGTACTGAGA